CATCACAAAAAAAAACTATTTGTTTTTTGGACTATTTTTTAGCACTTTAATGCATTATGACATCAATGTAGCTATAGGCCACACATTTCTATCTGTAACGATTAATGTAGTAGTTTGACTTGTGAAGTCTCTATAGATATGTGTAAGTTTGCATGAATTTTTGAATACTATTAGATCTACAAGCATATACAAACATATTAGGAGTCCTACTTATTTAAAATACTCATTTTTTACATTGTCATTTTATATATAGAACTTGTAGAAATTATGGCATCACTACATCTAGCTATAGCCGCAGACCATTATGCATCTCCATTGGCAACGACTTATTAGCTAGAAGACCATGCCAGGTGTCTAACTCTAGTGGCAATAGCATACTGTAGCCAATAAAAAATAAATGTAGTAGATTGGTTTATGAATCTTTTCCTAAGAAGTCCTACTAATTTATAAACCTCCTTTCTTTACGCTGTCTTTTTTAGCACTTGAAGATATCATGATATCAGTCTAGCCATAGCAGACCATGCATGTCTATCTCTAGCATCAGCAATGAATTATAGATAAAATAGGACTTTGTTTGCATTGATGTCGATCTAGCTATAGCGGCAGACAATATATACATGTATCTTTAGCATTAGCAATAAATAAACTGTAGATAAAGTACAAATGTTTTGGTTTAGTTTTAAGCATATCTTTTTCTGTTCAAAAAGAAGTATATAGTTTTTTGGACTATATATTTTTAGCACTTTATAAAGACATTTATGGCATTAATCTAGCTATAGACCATGCAGTTCTATCGCTAGTGATGTGGTTTGGCTTGTGAAGTCTCCATAGGTATGTGTAAGTTTGTATGAATTGAATATACTAAGTATGCAAGCATATACAAACATATTAGGAGTCCTACTTATTTAAAGACTCCTTTTTGCATTGCCATTTTTATATAGATACAACTTGGAGACATCATGACATCATTACATCCAGCCATTTTTATACAGATAGAACTTGGAGACATTGTGAATCACTACGGCTGTGTTTAGTTCGCGAAATGAAAATTTTTGGATGTCACATCGGATGTTTCGGGGATGTCGGAAGGGGTTTTCGGATACTAATAAAAAAACTAATTACATACCTCGCCTGGAAACTGCGAGACGAATTTATTAAGCCTAATTAATCAATCATTAGCGCATGTTAGTTACTATAACACTTATGGCTAATCATGGACTAATTAGTCTTAAAACATTCGTCTCGCGATTTTCAACTAAACTGTGCAATTAGTTTTTTTCGTTTATATTTAATATTCCATGTATATGCCGCAAGATTCGATGCGATAGTTTGGGATGAAAATTTTTATGAACTAAACCAGACCTACATCTAGCTATAGCCGCAGACTATGTATGTCTATCCCTACTGGCAGTGACTTAGCTAGCAGCCCAAAAAATAATGCAGTAGATTTTATTATATTGGTTTATGAATCTTTTCTCCAAGATATGTTTGTATGACTTGAATACCCTGCTTGCAGATGACCATATAGTAGCCATAACAATAAATGTAGTAGATTGATTTATAAATCTTTCCTCTAATGAGCATGTTCGCTGGTTGGTTTCTGCCCTGATAAGCCTGACGGGGTTGGTTTATTGTGAGAGGAAAATACTGTTAGCTGGCTGATAAGCCCTGGCTGAAACCAACCAGAGAAAATATATGCTTGTGTGACTCAAATACCCTGCTTGCAGATGGCCATATCTTATACAGGCGGTGCTACTAATAAAATCTCTATTTTTATAGATGGAAATTACTAATTAATGTACTTCCTACAGAATATCTCTTGTGATACGATCAACCATGGCGACTGCCAGTAATTCGATGGCATGGATTTTTCATGCATTTCGCCTAGGGTCAGTGTGGTTTTCGAAATTTTTGACAAAATGACACGGTAGCGTTTTTGTTGTTATTTGGCAATTAGTGCCCAATCGTAGTCTAATTAGGCTTAAAAAATTCGTCTAAACTGTGTAATTAGTTTTATTTTTTATTTATATTTAATGCTTCATACATGCGTTCAAAGATTCGATGTGACAAAAAATCTTGAAAAATTTAGCATTTTAGGAGAGAACTAAACAGGACCCTTACTTTCTTGTGTGAGGCTGCTGTGGCCTAACGGATAGTGAACCGGGTCCAAGCTATAGAAGAAATTTAAAAGTTACTACTAGAAGATACTAAGGCCGTGTTTAGTTGTCGAATTTTTTTGGTTTTGTCTACTGTAGCACGTTCATTTCTATTTGGCAATTAGTATCTAATTATGGACTAATTAGGTTCGAAAGTTTCGTCTCGCGATTTCTCACCCAACTGTGCTATTAGTTTTGTTTTTCGTCTACATTTAGTACTCTATGCATGTGTCACAAGATTCAATATGACACTTTGAGGTGAAAATTTTTAGACACTAAACAGGGCCTAACAGAAGAACAGAAATTTTTGGAAGTACTTAAAGAAGAGTTACTACTGCTACCACTAGAGGACAGTAACAGACTAACAGAAAGAAGAAGAAGAAAAAGAATCTTAGACCGCGGCTGAATGGCTGATGGCGTTGACGCGATGATGATCACCGAGAGTTAATTTGTTGGCCACCGTCCCCTTCTACAAACTGACGCGACAATGGACGCCGCGTTGTGTCCGCTAGCAGTAGATGCAGGGAGAGGGAGTAACGCCACCGCGTCTCTGGCTGGCACGCCACAAGAGGACGACAAAGATGGTTAGAGCTACATCAGACTGTAGCTAATTACCATGCGCCCTGTTCGTTTACTGTTCGTTGACTAAAAAAGTACGGCTTATAAGCCAAATAAACCTAAACGAACAGGGCGATGGTTTGGTGTGGATTGAGTCATCACGTGTTGCTATGTGCTGTGGCCTGCAGCCGGATCTGTCGTAATCCAGTATTTTTTTTTGCATCCAAGCCCTCGTCTTATGGGACTATTCCTAATCAAGTACTTTAGTCGTTAACCTGTCCACCCTCACCACCAAAGTAAAAAAGTGGGAAATTAAAAAAATATCCATATAGAAGAGTTTACCCTGCTTGTTAGTCCACCTTTTTTGAGATATAAATTATTTCTAGTGTTCCAAAAAATAACCTAACAAGTGATAGAAATGGTGTTAATTATTATGTGCCATTTTTATGTACATTTTCCGTTATTAAAAAAAAGAAATGATATGTCTAACAACACTGACCGCTTATTGTCGTATATAAGAGAAAACTATTTTTTCTCGATGATTGAGGGTAATGGCTATGTCCCCATAGGGGAAATGTCTATGCCATTGAATCCATGATCGGTCGTTGTCGTATATACACTCTTTAACGAGAGCATCTAACGTATGTTCCACCAATTTTGGAAACATTGCGGAACATAGAGCTAACATGCCTGGCGTGTTACGAACATGACTATGTCCCCATGAGGCAGGCGCCTATGCCTCCGAATCCATGAACGGTCTTTGTCGTATACCACATCTTATAATGAGAGCATCTAACGTATGCTCTGCTAATTTCGAAAACTTTTGCGGGACATAGAGCTAACATGGTTGACGTAGTTATTAGAAAGACCGTTTTGCTTCGATCATGCAAAATCGATGCTAGATACATCATAACGACAACTAACGGATCATCCCCGTCACGTGCTATCGTCACATCGGATTAGTAAATGTAGCAAAAGAAATGTGTTACTACATTAGTCCGAGCAAATTTTCCCCCATGCAAAATTAAATATAAGTTTTGTACGAAAGACGTGTTGATACGACATAGGTCCTCTTTGGCGGGAGTTTTTGAACCGTTGTAGCTCTGGTTCCGCTACGGCTCTAGGTGGATCTTTACAGAATGTCAGAACGAGAAATGGCTCGATCACTGAGTGAAGCTCCTGTGAGCGTGCGCGGGAGTCATTTTTGAACCCTAGAGGTGAAGCCTCCATTCCACGGCTTCTCCCAAAAAAAATGGGTCATCTTCTTCTGGGTTCGTATACCATGATTTAACGACGCTATAAATGTATCATTTTTCCTTTCTGACACTATGCCTATTCCCATCATTTTCTCCCGTTGATCTGTTGTCATTTTCTCCAAAAGATTATAGTAATAATAATTACCACCCGGGTGGAATTAACCTAGGGACCTATTTCTAAATTTGGAATTCTAAAAAGAAATCACAGGAAAACCACCATGTCAGAGCCTATTTAAACCGTGCTTTGGGCAGTGATCTTTCAGACAACAACATCTCAGTTCTCAGAACAGAAGAGCCTTCTCCTTCTCAAGAAGAAGAAGAAGAAAGCCAAAAGGCCTTCGTTCCGCTTCCAGGGCGACCCAACCTCAAGGAGCGGAGTAAAAGAAGGTACGCATGGACTCCTCTCCACTCATTTCTCCTCCATGTGCTTAGCTTTCTTGTATACTTGATCAGTCAGTCAGTCATAGAGAGAGATAGGTGGTGGGGGTAGTCGGTCAGGAGCCAGGAGACGAGAGCCTCTCTTCCTCCTACTACCTCGCATCTTTTTTTTTTTTTTTGGGGGTTTCTCCTGGTCCTGGAGGACCTGGACCACGCTGCCGAGTGCCGATTGACTGCAGGCGCTCGCTCAACAACCTTGGTTTTCCGCAGACACGGACTCTAACAAGCGAGGGCCTGGCCTGCTGTTAAGTTTCGTCTCGTGCTCGTGCGTCTCTTCTCGGTTCTCTCTATAGGAGAGTAGATTTTATTCAATTCAATCCTTGTGTGAGAAGAGTGTGAAGTGACAGTATTTTATTGCGAAAGTTGCCTATATTTGAGCCGATCCTCTGTTCATCCTCCCTCTCTCTCCTTCTCTCCGCTGACAGTGGAGTGGAGTGGAGACGAGACGAGACAAAGGAATGCTCCCTTCGCATGCCGTCCCTGTTCTTCTCCCCCTCCCTCCCTGATTTCAGTGCTCTGCTCTCACATATACCAGATCTGAAGCCTTCTCGCGCCATCGAAGCCTGCGGCGGAGTGTGACAAGTCGGCCAGCATGAGTCGCGAGGACATTCTCAAAGTTCAGGTGAGTTTGTTTGCCTGCTTGCCTGTCTTGTTTGCTTCTTCAGTTCTTCTCAATTTTTTTTTTTGAGATCAGTTCTTCCCAACTCATGCACTTCACTTCACAAGCATTCCATGCATGACCAGCATGTCGTTTCTCTGCCCCCGCTGCGATTTCCGTTTCGCTTTCGGCCTGCATGTCTGTCTTCTCCTAATCGGTTTCCGTGACGTTTTTTTTTTCTCTGTCTGTCCACAGACCCTCGAGCTCAAAGTTCCCATCCACTGCGAGGGCTGCCTGAAAAAAGTGAAGAAAATTGTTCAAAAGATTGATGGTAAGTTGCTGGACTAAGAACGATCTTTTTTAAGACCACGAATTGCTCGCTTTTTTGTTTTTGTTTTCGTCTTCTTCCCTGCTGCTGAGTGCTGCTAGGGGAGAGTGAGATGAGATCAGAGGGGTGTGTTCAGTTCAGCTGGAGAGGCTGCTCTGTTCTTCATCTTCCTCTGTCCATTCCAAAATAGCATTTTTTTTCCTCTCTCGTTTTCCTCTGTTCTAAGACAAATGCGCTGGAATGGTTTTGTCGTGCAGGGGTGTACCAGAGCAGCGTCGACGCGGCGCTGGGTAAGGTGACGGTGACCGGGCTGATGGACCCGGAGACCGTCATCAACAAGATCCAGAAGGCCGGGAAGCCGGTGCGGGTGTGGGGGGAGAAGCCTGGCGTTCCCCTGGAGGTCCAGCTCCAGAAGCTGAAGCTTGGTAGCGATGGGAAAGGTCAGCAGCAGCTTAAGGACGCTGGCGGCAAGGGCCAGCAGCAGCACCAGCCCAAGGGCGCCGGCGGCAAGGGCCATGGCCAGGGCAAGCAGCCCAAGGGTGGAGCGGGCGGTGGTGGCGCCGGTGGCGGCGCGAAGGAGGCGAAGATGGTGGCGCCGCCGCCACACCTGCAGCCGACGCCGCAGCAGCTCCAGCAGACGATGCAGATGAGGGGGATGAAGTTCCCTCCGCCGGAACTCATGCCCATGGGCGCCGGCAAGATGCCGATGCCCATGCCGTTCCCGGCGGCAGCGGCGCAGGCGCAGGCCGCGGCGGCCAAGGACCCCCGGACAGTGAAGTTCGACCTCCCCGGGGCCGACGAGTTCGGGGACGATGACAGCAGCGGGTTCGGCAACGAGTTCGACGAATTGGACGACGTCGATTTCGAGGACGACGGCCTCGACGACGATCTCGACCTCGACGACGACCCCGCCATGATGACGAGGCCTATGGGCATGCCACCGGCCCCCGGCGGTGGCGACAAGAAGGGTGCCGGCAACGGCAATGGCGGCAAGAAGGGTGGCGGCGCACAGCAGCCGCCACAGAACGGCAAGGATGGCGGCGGCGCACCGGGCGGCGGGAACCTGCCTGGGCAGGGCAAGAAGGGCGGCGGCCCCGGCGGCGTCGGTCTCGGCGGACCGATGATGATGGGAGGCGCGCCGCCGCAGCATCCAGCGGGCATGATGATGAGGCCGCCTCACATGATGGGCGCGGGCGGCGCCGGCGGTTTCCCCGGCATGGGACAGATGGGCGGCGGCGGGCCCCTTGGCGGCATGCCGATGGGCCACCCCCACATGGGTGGTGCCGGGATGCAGCAGGGCGGCGGCGGAGCGAACGGCAAGCCTGCCGGCGGCATGCCGATGGGCGGCCTCCCCCACATGGGCGGCGCCGGCATGCAGCCTGGCGGCGGCGGCGCGCACGGCAAGCCCGCTGGCGGCATGCCGATGGGCCTCCCCAACATGGGTGGCGCCGGCATGCAGCCGGGCGGCGGCGGCGCCACGCACGGCATGCCTGCTCCTGGGTTCTTTCCGGGCGGCGGCATGCCGGCCGGCCAGGAGATGCTGTCCATGTCCCAGCTCCCGCCGCAGCAGCAGCAACACATGGCCGCCGTGATGCAGCAGCAGCAGCAGCACATGGCTGCCATCATGCAGCAGCAGCAGCAGCAGCAGCAGCAGCTGATGCTGAACGGGCACGGCCACCATGCTCACCATGCCCACCACCATGGCCACGGCGGCCAGGGGTATCCACCGCCGCCGGCGAGCGGGTACGGGTACGGGTACGGTCGGCCGCCGATGCCGCAGTACCCGCCGCCAACGCCGTACTACTACGCGATCCCTCCGCAGCGTCATCCGCACGACAACCTCTTCAGCGACGAGAACCCGAACGGGTGCTCGGTGATGTGAGGTGAGGAGGTCGGTCGCCGGCGGCCTGCTGCTGATGCTCTCTGGAGAAAACTGAAGAACCAGCAGCCAACCCGAAAGAGGTGGAGAGCTCAGGCCGTCGGCCGTCGGAGGCGTTCACCGTGCGTGGTGGATGGAAGGAGGGAGGCGATCACCAGCCATAACCGCACCCCAGATTTCCCTTTTTCTAAATTTCCCTTTTTTCCCTTTTCTTTTCTAGTTTTTTTTTTCACCTTTACTTTTTTCTTTCTCTGAACAAAAAAAAAGAGAGCAGCTTCCTTGGATTGGAAGGTAGGTATAGTAGAGTAACTATGATAGTGGTGATAAGAGATGATGATGGTGCTTCTATAGCTGAATGCAGGAGGAGGAGGTGATGCTGGCTCATGGCTTCCTTTCTTGCTCCATAATGTGAGGATGGTGGTAGAATGAATGAATGAATGAACAATGTGCAAAAACAAGGTTAAATGCCATGCAATGCTATTGTCTCTGTGTGATCTGTGAATTGGAAATGGAATGCATCATGCATCAATGCATGGATGGTCTGGTAGAGCTTCTTCGCCAAACCTTGCATGCTATGCTAGTGGAATGCAACGTTGTCAGCTATAGCGGCGCGGCCTTTATCTCTGCGCCTGCCTTGCCTGCCTGCCTTGGTGTGTGAGAGACAATGAATGATACTGTATCTCCACACACTGGACATGGTGCTGGTGCTGGTGGTGGTGGTGGTGGTGATAATGGTGGCAGCCAGCAACGGAGCCGGGCCGTGGGGACCATGGTGATGGCGGGTGAGTGGTGGTGATGGCGACGGCAGTGGTCCATGCTGAGTGAGAGTGAGAGTGAGGCGGCCTGTCCAGTGCAGTGCAGGCAGCAGCTGCCCCTCGCCGCGGTTTTATTAATTCGGCCATGGCATTGCAGTGCTTTCTCCTGCACCCTGCACTCGCATCATTGATGGGGGTAAAGAATTGGCATGGTCCTAGAATATGAAAGAATATACGACAGTAAACTGTAAACCACTCCATCCTCCACTGGTACGGATGCGTTTGTTTTCCTGGCTTAGTTGTACTCTAAACCTGATTCCAGCGAGCTAATTTGAGATTATTTGGTTGTCCGTATTATCTAAGTCTGGTTAGCTTCATAGCATGTGTGGTTGCTTAGTTTATTTTGATATAGTCACCTCTTCTCTGAATCGGTAAGTTTACCCCTGTGAGAGATTTCGTCGAACATGTGGTGGGCATCTATCGGGAACCAATATTAGGGTACTCGAAGATGAGAGCCTAATGGTGATCAACATTAATTTATCCGGACAGTCAAGAGCGCGACTACGGCTCCAACCGACCTCTGGGGAGCCCCTGGGGGCGGGCTCCGCCTTGCCCGACCTCTGGGCCCAAGGCCGCGGGCTCCTCCTCGCCCGACACCGAGGCCGCGGGCTCCGCCTCGCCCGACGAAGTCCCATACTGCCGCCAACCACTCTAGGTCCAAGCGTATGGGGCTGGGTCAAAACTCTGACACCAGGGAAGAGACTGGTACGTCTCGATGTAACCCGCGGCCGCGATGGGCCATACCTAAGGATTCATATAAGAATAGCGTCGGGCGTACCAGTACTATTCTGCTTAACCCTTGTACGAACACTGACAGGCGCGTCAGTTCACCACGACGTCCGCCAGGCGGAGTGGAGCGCCACGACCGGCAGACGACGCCTGCACATGGCGCCAGTGACGGACAAGGCCGCAACATGGCGCCGTCCCTGTTGACATCTATAGGGTCGGTGGGACCTGCATGAAGGAGAAGAAGGGCCCGACGATCTTGAAGGCCTTCGGCTCTCTCTCGCTCTTCTCTTTCCCTCCACTGTAACCTGTGCTTTCTCTTGGCCTATAAAAAGGAAAGCAGGGTGTCCCATGAGAGGTATCTGACCAACGAACCCATTGAACCCCGAACCACGAGATAACAAACACACGAGCGCACGGCTGAGCAGCGACCGACCTCTCAGCACCTTTTCACTCCTTTCACTAGAGACTCGGGACCTGACCCCCTCTCGCCCATTTGTAATCCCTACTACAAACTTTCGGTGCTAGTAACATGAGCAGCAACGATGAACTGGACGTAGGGACATTCTGCCCGAACCAGTATAAACCTCATGTCATCTAAGCACACCATCCGAGCCAGACGCGTAATATTAGAAATTTACTCATCGGTGGTAACTCGAAACACCGATAGTTGGCGCGCCAGGTAAGGGCCTTTTGCACGTCTCGACATCCACACCGGGTCTCGGATGGCTAGTCACAACGTCAGCTGGGTCCTGGGCGCCCACGTGCGCTTCGGGAACCTGGACTTCATCGTCACGACTGAGGGAGAGTTGGCGAGGGCTCCCATCGTCGTCGAACCTCTCCGCTCCGTCGGCCTCGACTCGATCGCCGAGGCGCTTGAGGAGCTACAGCTACATGCACCGGAGGCCCACGCGTGCCGAGAGCGACTAGCTCCTCGGCTTTGACTATGGGACGTTAGAGCGCCAGCTCGGTGCCTTCCTGGGACCCCGACCGTCCCGGGAGGACCTGCGCCACCTCACCTTCTCGTTCGCCAACGTCATGGCGCAGCTTGCCGGGAGAGAGCTGCTCTCCCCAAAATACCTCATCCAAAGCGCTCCGACAGCGCTCTCGTCCGATCTTCGCAACGCCGCAGAGACCGTTGGCCACCTTGTGGTGCAATGCACGCCACCATCCCCTGTAAACGATGAATTTGTGGGGATAACCGAATATGTCGTGGAGTCTTTCCACGACCTCCTCGCGGGAGAAACAAAGTCACCCTCCACCTCTGACTCTAGCAGGGGGAGCCATCACCCCTCTCGTGAATATTTCATGGCAGGTACCCCCGAGGGACACGTCAAAAGCATCCACGAGGAATTGGCTACCCCAATGAACGACCTCGACGACGAGGTCGAGGGGGATGCAGGGGGCCCCACCTCGCCTGCGGGTGGAGCAACTGAAGGCCCCGCACCAAGAGCTCGAGGAAGCACGACTCCAGCTCGAGCAGGAACGCGTGGAGCTCGAGTGCGAGATCGAGCGTCGTGGAGACGGTGGGCATGCGCGTGCCATGGGCCGCGACGTGAACCAGCGGATCATCGAGGATGATGAAGCACTCCCACACTTCGCCCGAGCAAGCCAAAACATCGCTGCTGCGATGGCCTTGCTCTGGGGGCTTCCAGGACCCGCAACGCCCGAGGATCGTTGGGCCCATCGCGAGATTCGCACACTACTCGAGCATGCGGTGACGCAGCAGGCCGAAAGCTCGCTGTCCTGACGACGCGAGCTCGATGCAAGGTAGCGCACGCCCTCAGAGCGACCTGACAAGGATGCGTCAATCTACCAGGCGCCGCAAGGCGGCAGGCGACGCACCATGGTTCTAGTGCATGAGTGTCTTGGCCGCCACCGTGACGCGCGACGACAACCTCGACGCCCGCAGACGTACCCATGGTGATGCGAGGGAGGGGGCAAGCCACGGCTAGCACCCTCGTCGTGGCGGATGCTATGACAGCAGTGAGGACCAAAGCCCAAGCCCTGACTTGCTGGGACCTCAGGCCTTTGGTCGACACATCCTCAACGCCGTCTTCCCACCACGGTACCGCCACCGCCTAGCATCCCAAAATACTCTGGGAAAATAAACCTCGGACCATGGCTCGAGGATTATCGATTTGCTTGCCAAGCCGGTGGAGCGGATAATGACGATTTCATTATCTGCAACCTTCCATTGTTCTTGGCCGATTCGACGTGAACATGGTTGGAACACCTTCCGTCCAATCAAATCCAAAGTTGGGCGAACATGAAAGAAATCTTCATGGGGAACTTCTAGGGCACATACACACGTCTTGGGAACCCCTGTGATCTCAAAAACTATCGACAGAAGTCCGGAAAATCCCTTCGTGGGTACATCCGGTGCTTCTCCCGATAGTGCAATGAGCTGCCCAATGTTACCGACGCTGATGTCATAGGAACTTTCCTGTCTAGGACCACCTGCGAGTCCCTGGTCCATAAGCTGGGATGTAAGGGCCCGTGAACCACCAAGGAGCTCCTCGACATCGCCACCAGCCATGCCTCGGGCGAGGAGGCGGTTAGAGCAATCTTCGACCACCTCAAGGGCAAGGCAAAGCTTGACGAGGACGTTGGCGAAGGTGCCTCCAACCGTCCCAACAAGAAGAAGAACAAGCAGCAGCGCGAGGGCTTGCTCGTGGCCGCCGCCGACCGCAAGGGGGGTCAGAAGCCCATCGAGGGTACCCCGAACCACTTTGAGAAGCTGCTCGAAGGGCAATGCCCGAACCATGCCTTCCCCGTCAAGCATCTCAACAAGGACTGCGGCCTCATGAAGCGGTTCTTGTCCGAAGGCTCCAACAAGGGGGAGCATAGGGGTGACCCCAAGCGGACCGTAGACGACATCGAGGAGAAGGACGGTGGCTTTCCGACGCTGGATGGTTGCCTCATAATCTTCGGAGGGTCGGTGGCCTACGACTCCAAGGGCTACCAGAAGCTTGCGCGCCACAAAGTCTATACGGCCGAGCCATCCGTGCCTTCCTTCCTCCGATGGTCGGAGTTCGCCATAACTTTTGATCGGACCGACCACCCGAAAAGCGTCCCACAGCCGGGACGATATCCGCTCGTGGTCGACCCGATCATCGACACGAAGCGGCTCACCATGGTACTGATGGATGCAGGCAGCGGTCTCAACATCTTGTACGCTGAAACGCTCGACGCCATGGGCATCGACCGAGCGTGCGTCCGGCCGACCGGGGAGCCTTTCCATGACATCGTGCCTGGAAAGCAAGTTGTGCCACTCAGACAGATCGATCAGCCCATCACCTTCAGGGATCTATCTAATTATAGGATAGAGACCCTCACCTTCAAGGTGGTCGGGTTCCATGGAACCTACCACGCCATCCTGGGACGTCCATGCTACGTGAAGTTCATCGTCGTCCCCAACTACACCTATCTAAAGCTAAGGATGCCGGGTCTGTGCGGGGT